AATTGTTTACATGATTCTATAATTTCTGTATGCTTTTTCCATGTTCTGAATGTGCGACCATCTTCTAAAACAAATTGCGATATTTTTTGGTTTCCATCTCCTACTCCCATAAGCCAAATTGCTTGAGGATTTTGAAGAGCATTGTTAATAGCTTCCCAAGTATCGTTCTTATAATATTCGACCATTCGGTCTCTTGGAAAATGTTGGTTTCTCGGGAACGCATGGCCATTATGAACTACCATCTCTATTTCTTCATACTTACCTGATCGATATTTTTTACTATTAAAGATAGTGCCATGAGTAATATCCAGTAATGTAATTGGTCGCTTGAGAATTTTTTCTAATTCTGCTACATTTTGTACTCGAGCACCTGGAATGCGCATTTTTTTCTCCCATGCATCGATTTTTTGTCGACGAATATTTGTGAGCCCATGCCCTCTCTTGGCTTGATCAAAATGCTCTATTACTCGTTGTGCTACGCAATTAAGTGCTCCATCTTTCATAGGCATTAGTCGATTGACATCTGGCTTTCGGATACGATACAATCCATAGACTACTGCATTACTGTCAAGTTTCCCTAGCTCAGATTGCTCACTGACTTCCCTAATCAGAAATTTTTCGTCTATTCCTACCCAAAAACCTGGTTTCGTTTTCTTTGTAAGTATAACATTTGGACCGCCCCTGACGTATTTTCCACTAGCCTTTTTCGATTCACAAATAGGCTCATATTTATCAATGATTTTAAAGCCTCTTTTTATTTTCTCAACTGATATTACTGTATCATCTCTAATGAATTTTACTCTTATTAAGAACTCGCTATTATCGATTGTATTTAAAATTTCTTGAGCTCGCCTTTCAGTCATTCCAGCCTCAAATTTTTTTGATATTTGCTGTTCCACATATTCTAACCAGGCTTTACTTTCTTTATCTGATGCTCTATATGCATCTACTGCCATTTCCAGATTTTCATTGGTTTCTTCTTCCGAATAATTATGATATAGGCATTGCAAAAATACTTCTTGCATGGCATCATCTTCATTTTCTGATCCTAATATTATACTGGCCAAATCGATCTCTTTAGCTTCTGTAAACCAAGTTGAGAAAGTATATTCAGCTCCATCTACTTTGAACATATCTTTTGCAGTCTGGATTCCATTTTGCCATACTGCACGGTGTTTTTCATCATCTGGAAATGGAACTGGCCAAGGCACTTCTATATCTAAATCTAGAAATTCATCTCTACGATTAAGCAATTCTTGAACGGGTTGCAATTCCGTATTATCTAATGGTGCAATTTGTTGAGTTACTATTTCTTCCAATTCAGTAAGTCTACCTTCACGATGAGCTTGGGTTTGAGGGCCTGGACCAGCTTCGGGATCGATTTCTGGTTGTATTGTTGGAGATGGCTCATGCTGAAGATTTGCTTCTTCGATTTCAGGTTCACCAAAGAATTCTTGCTCTTTACGCTTTTCTTTTTCTGTTGCAGGTCGGAAATATGCATTTGGATCAACTTGCATTAATTGATCATAAAGGCGTTTGCATTGAAATAAATTTTGTGGTTGAGGGTAATCTTGATAAATCACTTCTTTTAGTCTTTTTCGTAATCTCGATCCCCATTGTTTAACAGACTCACCTGATTTTCTAGCATTGGAATCCAGTATAGTTATTTGAGATTGTGAATCTGAACTAGATAAGAGTGCTGGATTAGGAACTAATGTAGGTAAATTATGAGGTAAGCACGGTCTCGTTCGATTTGGATTCAAATGTTTAACTCGATCTCGAGTTTTTGCAAAGTCATTTTTTCCACAATTAGGACATGGAGGTATCATTTTGATTAAAAACCGGTGAATTTTATTAGTATTAATTGTCCAGATCTTTTGTTTAAATTAAAATTATTTATTCCGACCCACATACCAGTTCGCGTTCAGATATGTGAAGTTTTCATTTTTATTAACCTGCCTTCTCACAGTAACTGCTTAAACCAGATCTTAATTAGGCTAACTACTTTTCTTTTTCTGAATTAGAGAGGAAAAAGGTTTTATGATCGAAAACTAGACAAGAACACTGCTTCTTCACCTGCTATGGATAAAGTTACCGCCTTCTCGTGACTTCATCACTCGAAGCCAGAAAAAACCATCAATTACTTCCTAACCATGAGATAACGAAAAGTATCTGGCTTCGAACAGGGACTGTGAGAAGGCGGGATAAGTGTAGTTTAACTAGTAACTGTTGACAGACAGATTACTATTTTTCTTTTTTCAAACTTAAACTAGACAAGAAATCTATAATGATAACTAATGCTTCGCATCAGAACCTTCCAGGTGGGTCTAGATGCTCCACTGCGTTTCGCATTATACCTTCCAGGTGGGCCTAGATGCTCCACTGCATTTCGCATTATACCTTCCAGGTGGGGCTAAAACATAAATTTATCGTTATCAAAATTAAGATTTCAGAAACTTAAACTGGGCAAGGAAACAATATAGATTGCTAGACGTTAAAAAAACGATTAAAGGCCAGATAACTATACAATATATTTTTTATCTAACGAAAATGTGGCCTAAATCATAAAACAATCGTCATCAAAATTAAGATTCCGAAAACTCTAGCTAGGCAAGAAAGCAACATAGAATTCAAGACGTTAAAAGAGCCGTTTAAGGCTGAAAAGCTATGCAAGTATATTACTAGTCAAATTTACGTTAAAAAACCTTAAAACAATTAGGAACCCAAACTATTACCCAAACTATTAAATTTGACGATTAAAAAAAGTTTAAAGACTCTTTAGCTATGCGTGAAATTACACCAAATTCTAAATATTAAAATTTATTTATATCGATTTTAAGGATCCTAAAGCCGTAAAATTCACGAGAAACCCACTAAACAGGAAAGCTTTCAATCCGATTCCTTAATTAGTTTTCGTCTTATGTTCTCAGGAAAGTGCTAAAAAGGCCAGAAAAGTGTAAATCCCAAAGGTGTAAAAGAGAGGAACACAAAATAGAAAGTCTGCTCGTGCTCCCTGCTGCTTATCGCTCTTTGCAAAATTATGCGGTCATGTGAAAATTTGATAATATAATTGATAGGTATTCGAATACCAAATAA